AGTCAGAATGGCAGTTATCAAGAATACAGACAACAATAAATGTTAGCAAGGATGTGGGGGAAAGGCACACTCATATATTGTTGGTGGGATTGTGAATTGGTGCAACCATTCTGGAAGGCAATATGGGGATTTCTAAGAAAACTTGGAAGGGAACCATCATTTGACTCAGCTATCCTATTCCTTCAGTCTTTACCCAAAGGACTTAAAATCAGCATACTATAGTAACATAGCCACATCAATGTTCATAGCAGCTCAGTTCACAATAGCTAAACTGTGGAACCAATAACCTAGATGCCCTTCAATAGATGAATGGATAAAGAAACTGTGCTATATTTACACAATGGAATATTACTCAGCATTAAAAGAGAATAAAATTATGGCATTTGCAGGTAAATGGATGGAGTTGGAGATGTCATGCTCAGCAAAGTAAGCCAATCCCCCAAAACCAAAGACCAGATGTTCTCTCTGATAAATGGAGGGGGGGATATATGGGAAAAATGGAGGAATTTTGATTGGGCAAAGTGTAGGGAGTGTAGGGAGGGTGCATAGGGTCAGGAAAGATGGTGGAATGGGATGGACATCATTACCCTAGATTCATGTATGACTGCACATGTGGTGTGACACTACATCATGTACAACCATAGAAATGTATAATCATGCTGCAATTGTGTACAATAAATCAAAATCATTCTGCTGTCATGTATACCTAATTAAAATTAATAAATAAATTTTAAAAATAAAAATAAAAAGCTATATTTGAGAAACTCAAAGCTAATATCATACTGAATGGGGAAAAATTAAAAGCGTTTCCTCTAACATCAGGAACCAGAAAAAAGACATCTATTTTCACCACTCCTATTGAAAGTAGTGCTTGAAATTTTAGCCAGTGATTAGGCAAGAGAAAGGAATACAAATAAGAAAGGGGAACATCAAATTATCCCTATGTCATATATTAGATGATTTAATCCTATACTTAGAAGACTCTAAAGATTCCAACAGAAAACTTCTAAAGTTGATAAAGAAATTTAATGATAAACATAACAGAACACAAAATTGACAAAAAAATCAATTGTTTTTTCTACACCAATAATGAATCTTTCTAGGAAAATAAATTCATTCATAATAGTCTCAAAAAGAATAAAATACCTAGGAATAAACCTAACCCAGGCAGTTAAAGACCTCTGCAATGAACTTTGTAGAACACTGAAGAAAGAAATGGAAGAAAACATTAAAAAATAGGAAGACCTCCTATGTTCATGGATACACAGAATTAATATTGTTAAAATGATTATATTACTGAAGGCAATCTACACATTTAATGCAATTCCCATCAAAATACCAACTATATTCTTCACACTACAAGGAAAAAACATCCTAAGATTCATCTGAAAGAACAAAAGACCCAAAATAGCCTGAACAAATAAAGCAATGCTGAAGGTATCACAATACCTGACTTAAAATGGTACTTAGTAACAAAAAAGTATGGTGCTGGCATAAAAACTGACACATAAATGCAAGGAACAGAAGACAGAAACAAATCAACACAGCCATATAATTCTTGACAAAGATGCCAAATGAACACATTGGATAAAAAACAGCCTTTTTAATATGTGATGCTTGGAAACCTGGGTGTCCATATATAGAAAAATAAAACTAGATCTCTATCTCTTACACTGTAAAAGAGTCATCTCAAAATGAATCAGGGATATAACTTTAAGACTCTTTGCAACTGTTAGAAGAAAAGATTAGGGAAAGCACTTTGCATATAGGTGCAGGCAAAGAGTTTCTGCATAGGACCCCTATAGCCAGGAAATAAGAGAAATCATCAAGAAATGAGATGGCATAAGATTAAAAACCTTCTGCACAGCCAAGGAAGGATTTAGAGTGAAGGAATAACTGACAGAATAGAAGAAAATTTTTTTTTGCCAGCTACCAAAATATAGAAATAACTCAAAAATTTCAACATTAAAAAAGCAAATAACCCAGTCAACATATGTATAAATGAACTGATTAGACACTTTTGAAAGGAGAAGTACATATGGCCAACCCTATATGAGAAAATGTTCATCTTCAGCCATCAGGGAAATACAAATCAAAGCTACGAGGATTACGAGATCCCATCTCACTCCAATTAGAATGACAACATTAAGAATACAATATTTTAATAAATGCTACTGGTGAAGATATACACTGTGAGTAGGAAAGTAAATTAATATAGTCACTATGGAAATCAGTATGAAGATTCCTCAGAAAGCTAAAAATGGATCTACTACATGATACACTATACCACTCCATAATATTTATTTAAGAGAATTAAAAATCAACATACTTTAGAGATACATGCATACCCATGTTTATCACAGCACAATTCACAATATTAAAGTTATAAAACCAGCCTATGTTTCATCCACAGATGAAAAAAGTGATATATATACACAAAGGAGTTTTATTTAGCCAGAAATAAGGATGAGAGTATGACATTTGCAAGAAAATGGATGGAATTACAGACAATAATTTTTTAAAATATTTTTTAAGTTGTTGATGGATCTTTATTTTTTATTTATTCATTTATATGTGGTGCTGAGAATTGAACCTGGTGCCTCAGGCATGCTAGGCAAGCTCCTATAGACTATTATTTTGTCTAAAGGAAAAATTATAATATGTTTTAGACACTTAAAGAAGAGGGAAAGTTTGGAGAAATCGAGGAAGGTAAGCTTGGGGGGAATATTGGGGGGTGGTTAATTGATCAAATTATGTTTTATGTATATGTGAATATGGTACAATCAAACCTATAATTCCATATAATTGAGATTCACCAATTAAAAAAAAACTACAAATACAATATCTGGTATATGACTGGGAGACTCTTTTAACATGATAATTATACTGCCTGAGACTGTTCCAAGAAATAATTGCTTTAATAATGACAGAAAAAAAATCTGCTTATTAAAAATAACATAAAATAAGAGTCTGCTTTATTTTGGCACAAGCTTCAAAATCATCAATTATATTTCAAATTCACTCTAAGTTGTAAAATTATCTTGGAATAAGTTTATCTGTATTATTACATAATTTCTATAAATGGAAATCCACCTTTCTCCCTCCCCTAAGCTTTAATAAAAGAGGCAAATATACATCTCAATGGCAGATTAAGGCTTTTTTGTAGCTAAGCCTAATTAAAATGGCAACATTCCAATGGTTTCTTTACCAGGGAGCAAGGACATCTGTAAAGGGATAAAAAAAATACCAAGCATTTTGATGCATTTGTTTCCAGTGTTTAAATGTGGCAACAGAAAATAGGGATTGATACTGGCTAAGCTACAAGCAACATTTGAGTTAGATGTTTAAAAAGAGTACAGGAAATCAAAGCAGTTAAATGCATTTTGACTTTAGGTTGTTTTGCAGGCTATTTCTGCCAGTTTTCAGTACCATAGAGTTTCTCAAATTGTGTCCCTGCATATTATAGTCCCCTCCTGGAACTTCTTTATATAAGTTCTACAGGAAAAAAAAAAATCTAGTTTAACTTTAATTACCCAGCATTTCCTAAAGTTGCTGACCTTGGACTTATTTTCTTTTTTCTTTTTTTTTTTTTTCTCAGCATCAACTATGTTCACCTTTGAGCACCATTTTGGATGAAATACTCTAATATACTATTTCTTGCCATTTTAGAATATTGTCTTAGTCCATTTGGACTTCTATAACAAAATAGACCAAACTGAATAATTTGAAAACCACAGAAATGTATTTCTTACTGTTCTGGAGGCTGGGAATTCCAAGAGGAAGGCACAAGCAGGTTGGGTGTTGTGGTAGGTCTGCTCTCTCCTTCAAAGATGGCACTTTACTGCTGTACCCTCCAGAGGGAATTACATGGTATCTTCACATAGCAGGAGAGTATGAGAGCAAGGGAGACAGAGGCCCTCTGGAATCTCTTTCATAGAGGCATTAATTAATGAATTCACAAGGCTCCACCCTCATTTCCCAAAATACCTCACTTTTTCACACCACCACAGTGGGGATTAGTTTTCAACACATGAATATGGGGGGTGAGGGGGATTCAGACCATAGCAAATATTAACACTAAGCATAAAAACAAAACAAAACAAAACAAATTTATTCCCTGAAACTATTTTACAGCCATCATGTATCTTCTATGTAATAAGTTGCGAATGCAAGTTTCAAGACAGAGATACAATGAGAAAGGAAATACAATTTTTCCTACCACTGAGAAAATATGTGGTGCTTATAAAAGCTGATAGAATGTGTTGCATTGATTTATGCAAATTCCCTACTCTCATTTCTCCAATAACTGACCAAAGATATTTTGTGGTTCCAAACCATTCAAATTCATTTCATAACTATTTTAGTGCCTAAAATAGAGGAATCATCAGTGACTATCTACTGAATTGAATCAAATAACTTGATAATTCCTCAGTCTATTCATTTTCTTCCTACACCACCGCAACTTTTGGAATGATACCAGCTGAAATTCCTGACTTTTATTTAAATTTGTATTTCTTGTGTTCAGCGTAGGATTTAACAACATGTGAGCTAACAACAAATTTAAATATGCAAACAAGATGGATGGTACACATTAATCAAGCACTTTTAAATTCATAACTTGTTTTACACACAAACTAGGATTGAAGAGTACTTTTTCTGATGTGTTTTTTTTAATTTATATGATTTATAAAGAATGAAACACCATTATTTTCAAATATTCATCAACCTCAATGCAAAAATTTTCTTCTAATTTTATCATTTTAAATTCCCAATGATTTTAAAACCATGAGAGAATGATATAGACACTTCCAGAGGCTTTCCTTGAGAGCAAATATTTCAGATGAGCAAACTTAACTTTGCAGAAATATTTCAAGTTAGAATTTTGGTTTTATTTCTTAGGCTACATTTTTCACCTGTCACATGATACATAATGTACAGACAGAACGCTATAAGTGCAGAATTAGAAAATGGGTTTCTTTCACACAAGCTACACCTTGTACCTTAAATTCTGCTTTGACATGTAGATAATGAATAAGCTCTTTAGTGTAGTCACTTTCCTTTTCTTGTAGAAACTTCTATTCTATACACCATTCTCTGAAAATAAAAAGAAAAGTCAGCTTCTTACAAAGAAATAAAGTTATTCAGTAAGATAATAATCTAATATTGGTTGCCTCATATTTTCTACCACTTGATGATATCTTTCACACATCTTAAAATGGTCTGACTTTTTTTTTTTTAACATAAAATGACCTGGAATCAGTTTTATAGGACAAAAATCTAAGCTTCAGTATAGCAAATGAAAAATACATATTTAAAATTCATAGCAAAGTGTTCAGTGCATCTTCTAGGTTTGTAGTAGCAGAAATTGTAATCAAAGTTATTCAAATATTCTATTCAATGTTCCAAAATTTCATAAATTTTCAATTTTCAGGTTAAAAAGTTTGGTCATGATTTTTCTTTAATTTAGGCATAAACTTTGCCTTATTTTGACTTTCATGTACAGTTTTATAGAATTATAATTCTGTAAATTATTAGGCATTGACATTCATGTACCAAAGTATGATTAGCTTTTGTTTAAGGAAGGAAAAACTGCTCTAGGTATATGAAGCAGAAAGGCACTTAATATAAGAAATTAGAGGGTGTAAACATGCACTAGAGACTGTCTGCCTTCTTTTTTTTTTTTTTTTTTATAGCACTAAAAGACAGTATTAAGAATAGTGATGGTTAACTGTGGGAAGATGGTATTTGGAGGTAGGGGAGGGCAGGTGAGTCTGGTGCTGGTTTGAAATGACAGTTTTCACAAGTTTTATATAAGGACAACTGTTAAAACACAATGACAGAGACATTCCAGAAGCTTTCGTTAACGGCAGCTTGTAAGAATTCAAAAATTGTTAGAGCAAGGGTAGAATGGTAATCCTAGTGATCAGCTACATTTAGGAAATTGAACAAATAAACCAATATATTGAGAATAATGGGGGGATTTCTCACTGAAGAGGAAAAGATTACAAATATTAAAAAATAGGAAAATTTAGAATGAACCCTAGGATAGACTGAACTTGGAACTTCTAGTGTAAACTCATAGTTTGATAGGTAGCTCAATGAAAACATAGTTATAAAGGTATGTATATTTTTATAAATATGTTTTTGTAGATATGTACACAGATTCATGTAAACATATTCCTAGTTCTGTGAATAAAAGAGGCTGTAGATATAGCAATGATCAGATTTGGGCTTTGAAATATAGCTAGCTCTTTACTACAATTAAGCAGGGCTTTTAGAGAAATGGAAAATTCCAGAGTTGGATTTGGAAAAAAACATAATTTTAACTGTGTGAATAAATAATGCAATGCTCCAAAGATTGAAGTTTTTGAGGGCAAATTAAAGGAACAAAGGAAACTTGCTTGAACAGGTCTCTACTGCTCAAATCTAAGAAGTTCAAACATGAAAATAAAAAGTGCTAGTAAGGGATATTAATCCACATAATAAACTAGGATCCATGTCTCCATATGGAGAACCTGAAGAAAAGAATGTTTTTTTTTCAGTAATGTCAACCAATAGATGTGTAAGGAATGAATAATTGAATGAGGGAAAAAGTCTCATCATTTTACCATCAACATAGCACTAATTCAGACAAGAATCATCAACAAATACTAAAATGTCGGGTGAAAGCAGAATGAAAAAAGGGATATTAATCTAGAAAAAAAAATAACTTTTGCAATAGAGAATCTTGATTTTAACACCTTAATCTAGTGATCAGAATTTAAGCCACAAATCAAAATAGCATTCTACTAGAAAAAAAAAAATGCAATGAGAAGACCAGAATGTTACTTCTATGCTATTCCTGCCCCAAAAAATGGTAAGTAGAGTCTAATCATGATGAAATATCAGACAACTCTGAGGATCATTCTATAAAATTGTTGCCTTATAAACTTCAGAAGCATCAAGGTCACAGAAATGAAAGATGAAGGCCTTGCTCCAGATCAAAAGCCTGAAGAGACAACCAGATGTGATGGCTTTTGCCATTAAGGACATCAGCAAGGACAGTAATAAAGGATAAATGGGATCTCTAGGTGAAGAGTCTATGGAGATTTTGCTTTATTGTTTTGCAACTTTCTGGAAGCTTGAAATCATCTCAAACTTTTTTTTTAATATAGCAATGACTGAAGAGTCACATGAAAATGCTAATAATGCATGATTTACAAGTGGCATTCAAGAATTATTTATCAGTAGGAGCTTCAAGAAATTGACAGTGATGCTGCAGAAATGAGGCGTGTGATTCAAAACCAGACACACAGAGGCTGCTGCAAAATCTCACCTGTAAAAAAATCTGTGTCTGTCAATATAATGTAGCAGATAAAGGAGAACATGGACTGGGACAAAGGTGCAAGCAAGGAGGAGAAACTAGTGGGTTATTTTATCAGACACAATGAAAAATGATGATGGATTCCAGAAAGAGAGGGCAGTGAAGAGATGAAAATTATGCTTTGGTGGTAGAACTCGCAGTACACTCCTTTCTATCCTGTGTTATATTGATAAAGTTCCTTTGTTA